TGGTGCCGATGTGCGGTGAGCTTCGAGTGGGTGGTGCTGACAGCTAACGTCAGGCAACCCGCAGGAAATCATTGAGGCACTGGCGGACAAGCGCAAATTGGAGCCGGCTGGCGAGCCCAGTCTGCAAAACGGCCTCGTTATGGCGCGGGGTGGTATGTCGCACCTTCCCTCGACATCTTCCCTCGAGGTTCTGGTTCTGTTCAGCGCCATCTCGACCGCCGACCCAGACGGTTCTATGAACATCCACCAGGTACTTGACGAGCTCGTCTCCGCCCGCGTGCGCGTTACGATCATCAGCCTGAGTGCCGAGATCAAGATCTGCAAGCAGATCGCAGAGCGGACAGGTGGTCGCTTCGGCGTAGCCATCGACGAGGACCACTACAAGGAGCTGCTATGGGAGACGATTCCGCCGCCGGCACAGACGATAACGGCGCCTGTGACTGCAAATGTGCGAGAGGCGCTCGCGCGTGGCGGACGTCAAGCTCCCGGTGCTCCGAAGCGACCGCCGCCACTCGGCGACCTGCTCGTCATGGGCTTCCCTACCCGCCTGCCAGGAGCGGGCGAGAGCTTCTGCGCGTGCCATGGCCTCCTAAAGCGCGGGGGATACATGTGCCCGCGCTGCGGGGCGAAACTATGCGACGTACCGACAGACTGTGAGGTGTGCGGCCTCATGGTCGTCAGCAGCCCGCATCTGGCGCGATCGTGAGTTGCGTTGTGGAAGATGGTTAACTCACTCCAGATTCTGGCTCCTGTTCTCCACATAAACACAACTCGATGCAGAGGTATGGGGAGCGGGCTACTCGTGAGGGACGGGTGGGGCGGCGTGCGCAGGCCCTAGACGAAGGAGGGCCTGGAAGCCAGCCGGATCCTAATGTGGCGGTAGCCTGATTACTATCTCAGGGCACCAGCCATTAGGAGCGGCTAATCGGTCTCAATTACAATCAAGTCACCGAAACTAGCCGAAGTGGCACTCAACCACCCAACAACACCCAAACTTCTCCTCACGAGAACTTCCCCATTTCTCCACCAATCTTCGTCAAACTTTCTCTGTTCTTCGAGGGAACGCGTTGACGTACCATTATTAAGTGTATCTCATCGATGAACAAGATAATTTGCGTTCCTTCCTGTCCAGATTTCTCGACTTCGCTGAGAACAGCCTTCACGCGCTCCTCGTACTCTCCCTTGTACTTGGCACCGGCCATGAGGGCACCCATGTCGAGCGAAAGAACGCGGGAGATGAGAGAAGCGGGGACATCGCGGTCGACGATGCGCTGGGCGAGGCCCTCAACGACGGCGGTCTTACCAACACCGGGCTCACCGATGAGGACGGGATTACCCTTCGTTCGTCGGGAGAGAATACGGATGACTCGTCGGATCTCGTTGTCACGGCCGATGACGGGGTCGAGCTTGCCCTCGGCAGCAAGGCCGGTAAGGTCGATGCAGTACTTGTCGAGCGCCGTATCACAGTCCACCTCCTGTACACGTCAGGCTGTGCCTGACCGTGCCTGGAATTACTCGGCGTTGCAGTATTAGGGAAAAGTCTGTAGCGGAATATAGTAACGCCCCTTTTTCTGGTCCTTTAGATCTCTCGTCTCGTGCCTTCCTTGCATGCCTTTCTTGCACGTGGCCGGGCCGCGGGAGGGTCGCCGGTCAACAAGCAGAGCATGTTCTTCCAACCCTTCCGAACACTCTTATCTCATTGATTCTGGAAGAGAACTAGAAGTTCGACGTCTGAAATGATAACCGCACAGAACTGTTCGATGGGTAGGTAGCTCCAACTCCGCACGAAAGCACCGAAGGGAAGCGCCGCAACCAGCCAGTTTCCTGTACCACTGATTCCGCTACGAGCGTGGTAGAGAAGCTAAGAGCAGGCCGTGAGGTTTTTCGGGGGACATGGCGAAGGGTGCAACGGCAATTGAGGCCGTCGGCAGAACTCCCCATCTAAGTTGCCCGCCTCCTCGGGCTCGGACATGGGCTCAACGGTACCTTGGTCGTGAGACCGTGAGTATCTAAGATCGACAGTGCGTGAGTGTGGAGCACAAGCGTGACGTGCATAAACTTAGCTCTGAGATCCCCATGATTTCTGTCGGGGCCTGGACGTACTCGCTGTTCGGCTTGCAGGCTGCAGGTTGTGATCACTCACAATATCGCAGACAGTTGTCGGATGAACCTCGGCGAAACGACATGAGCGGGGCATGTGACTTGGACAAAGTCGATAAACATTCGGCGCAACCTCCGTATTCGCTGGCTAACCCATGAACTTGGGACCTGGGAGGATGGCTGGCGGCTGCTAGCCATCGCGTACAGCATTCCATGCCAGTCAGACCAAGTGACCAGCGATGTGCGATCAGGCGAGCAATGTGGGCACGGATGGGGTGGTTGTGTTAGCAAGAACATGTCTTGAATTGTTTGGAACGTCGACCTCCGGATGTACATTCAAACGTCGACCTCCGGATGTACATTCAAAGCTTATGTCACGAGCTACCACTCTACCTGGGCGAGCAGAGTTAACTTAGTCCCCTCGAGAGTCACAGATGGCCGGTCCTGCCGTACAGCGGACCTGGGCGGTGGGAGTCACCCGCACGCACTAAGCTTTGGGTGCGGACGCGTGTGCTTTTCTTCTCCTCGGCGGCGGAGGGTTCAGTGTTAATGGGGTGGGTCGATCAAGCTTCACCCTCCGCAAGGACAGTGCCGCAACGGTGAGGAAGCCGAGTGACAAGCGTGAGACTTCTCACGGCCGACCTCAACTCCCAGTGGACCACATGCTGCTAGCGTCTGACATGTCCTGACTCTTCCTGGCCGTTGTCTCTCTCTCGCCCTGCACAGCGCAGTCAACAACTCGTCCCTGCTCCCCTCCTCATCCACTGCCGCATGCCGCGCTGATTTTTCCTCTCATCGAATCGGATGGAGCAGAGCAGAGTAAGCACCCCGTTAGCAGCACCGTCCTTCAGCAGAACAGCAGCTGAAGCTAAGGAGGAGCGGCACACAGCATGATTCCGGCATCGCTGCGATCGATCGCCCTGGCACGCTAACTCTCTACCCCAATTCATTCAGCCAAGACGTCCGAAACCAAAATAATCATGCGCGTCAACACCAAGTGCTCCACAGGCGCAACACCGCCGCTGCAGTCAGAGAAACGCGCTACGGCACTTCTCCGCAGGCGCCGCCCGCACTCCTGGACCACGGCGAGGCAAAGATGGCTAGCCCTGCCTCTCAAGGTGGCTAGCGTCTGCATGTGTCTCGCCGCACTCGTACTCACCACACGGCTGATCTCCCTTAGCGCTCCTCGTTTGCTCTCCTCAGGCCCTGTTGCCGGAGCTTCGCTGCACCATGACTCCCAGGCAGCACATGCAGCGCATGCAGCGCACGAAGCGCAGCAGCCCCATGCAAACACTGTCTGCAGTCCTTCCAACTTCACTTCCGTTTCTCATCTTGCAAACTATAAAGCTGACGTCGACTCGACGTCCTTAATCTTTCCCCAGTGGTACGCTCATCCCTTTGACTTACTCTTTGAAGCGGTTGAAGCTGTAAGTTCCTTCTACGCTTGACTTTCACTGACAACAGACCATGCAGGTCGCTCTCTTCTCCCTCCTCTTCTCTCTCCTCTCTCTCTCCAACGCTCAGAATGGTGGTGACCAGGGCTCGAACGGGCAAAGCGGGCTGAACCCGGATACGAGCAACAGCGGCCAGTGCCAGTTCTGCACAGTGCCCGAGGGCTACACGTCTGAGAACATTGGCGCTCCGCTGAATGTCCAGTCGCAGTTCCCTCCACGCTGGCAAGAGGCGCACGCTAAGGCGTCTGCCATGCTGCAGGGCTGGTCGGTCGAGGACAAGGTCAAGGTCGTGTCGGGCACCGGATGGATGCAGGGTCGGTGCGTCGGCAACACTGCCGCAATCCCGGAGCACAACTTCCCGGGGCAGTGTATGCAGGATGCGCCGCTCGGTGTGCGGTTCGCGGACCTCGTGTCTGCCTTCCCCGCCGGCATCAACGCCGCCCAGACCTTCGACAAGAAGCAGATCTACGACCGCGGTCACGCCATGGGCGAGGAGTTTAGAGGGAAGGGCATCAACGCCGCTCTCGGTCCCATGACCAACATGGGCCGAGTCGCCGCTGGTGGCAGGAACTGGGAAGGGTTTGGAGGCGACCCATACCTCTCTGGTATCGCGACGTACCAGACCGTCAAGGGCATCCAGGACGCTGGCGTCCAGGCTGTCGTGAAGCACTACATCGCCAACGAGCAGGAACGCAACCGCACAACGTCGTCTTCCAACATCGACGACCGCACTATGCGCGAGGTCTACGTTCACCCCTTCCTCCGCGCTGTGCAGGCCGACGTCGCATCGGTCATGTGCTCGTACAACCTCATCAACGGGTCCTGGGCTGGCCAGAACGCCAAGACCCTCAACGGCATCTTGAAGACGGACCTCGGCTACGGTGGCTACGTCATGTCTGACTGGGACGCGACCCACTCTGGAGTGCTCGCAACCCTCTCCGGTCTCGACATGGATATGCCTGGCGACATCCACATGAACGGCGGCAAGACCTCGTACTTCAACGCGAACTTGACCATGGCGGTGAATAACGGCTCGCTCCCAATCGAGCGTCTCGACGACATGGCTCAGCGTGTCCTCGCGGCTTGGTACCTCGTTGGTCAGGACAAGGACTACCCCGCTGTCAACTTCAACACTTGGGGTGAGGAGGGCAACGAGCATGTCAACGTCCAAGGCGAGCACTACAAGCTCATCCGCGAGATGGCTGCCTCTTCCATCGTTCTTCTCGAGAACAAGGGTGCGCTCCCGCTCAAGAAGCCTCAGACTATCGGCATCATCGGTCTCGACATGGGTCCCTCCCCCAAGGGTCCCAACGGCTACCCCGACCGCGGTGGAAACGACGCTATCCTGGCAATGGGCTGGGGTTCCGGCACGACCAACTTCCCCTACCTCGTTGACCCTTACCAGGCCATCTTCCAGCGTGCTCGCCAGGACGGCTCCGGCATTCAGAACTGGTTCGAGAACTGGGATCTTGAGGGCGCCGCCAAGGCTGCCACTGGTGTTGACGTCGCTCTTGTCGGTATCAACTCGGACTCGGGAGAGCAGTACATCACCGTCGACAAGAACGAGGGCGACCGCAACAACATCTCGGCTTGGCACAATGGTGACGAGCTCGTCAAGGCTGTCGCTGCTGTGAACAACAACACCGTTGTCATTGTGCACTCTGTCGGACCCATGGACATGGAGCAGTGGATCGAGCACCCCAACATCACTGCTGTTGTCTGGCAGGGCATCGCCGGCCAGGAGGTCGGCAGCGGTCTCGTTGACGTTCTCTACGGCGACTACAACCCCTCCGGCCACCTGCCTTACACGATTGCCAAGCAGATGGGCGACTACCCCGCCGTCATTGACTACGTCGACACCGATATCCCGCCCGAGACCAACATCCCCTACACTGAGGGCCTGTTCATCGACTACCGCCACTTCCTGAACAAGAACATCCAGCCTCGCTACCCCTTCGGCTACGGACTCAGCTACACCACCTTTGACTTCAAGGACCTCTCCATCAACTGCGTCGACAAGACCAAGCGCCGCTTCGAGCACTCCTTCTCTCGCCGCCACGCGCGCCGGGACGAAGACACCTGGATCTCAGAGGATGCTGGCGACGACAACTCGACCGACGCTTCTGCCTCTGCTGAGGCTACGCCTTCTGCCAACGTCACTGCTGCTCCGAACGGCACTGAATCCGAGGCTCCCTGCGACTGTGAGGAGCACTCGAGCGCCTCCGCCACTGCTTCTGCTACCTCGAGCGCTGAGAGCTCCAAGCCTACCGACGGCCACGACGTCGTCTACGGCCCGGAGCCGACGTACAACTCCACCATCGGCACTTCGATGACGGACGACCTGCACCGCCGCCGCTGGGAGGTCAAGGTTAACGTCTGCAACTCCGGCTCTTGCGCCGGTAACGCCGTTCCTCAGCTCTACCTCAGGTACCCCGAGGGACTCGGCGAGCCGCCGAAGGTTTTCCGCGACTTCGAGAAGGTCTACGTCGAGCCCGGACAGGAGGCTTGCGTTTCCTTCTTCCTCAGCCGCTACGATGTTTCCATCTGGAACGCCGAGACGCAGAAGTGGGAGGTCCCCGAAGGCGAGTTCACTGCCCTCGTCGGCCGCGACAGCTTCGACGACAGCGGACCTACTGCCAAGTTCACGCCCGCTCACGATCTTTAAACACACAACGGACACTACGACAACACACGGTGAAGGCTGGTCCTCCCCGCGTGCACTGCACTACTAACGCAAACAACAACTACCATATCCTATAACCGATACTCCCTACTCTATCATACCGACAAACCTAAGTTCAAGTAATCTTCTCTCCGCCTTCCATACGATACATAGCAAAGCAGTAATCAGGGTGCTTGTTACGCATGCATAGTATTATGTTTCTTCCTATCTTGACCACGGGACGCACGGGATGTCGCATTCGGACAGGAGTTCAGACGCACGCTAAGTGCGCATGGTGCCATTTCGCGAGCGATGAGGTCATATGCGGCTGACAATTCGAGGCTGGTGGAGGCTGGCGGCCCTGAGTATATAAGTTGGATTCGCAGGGCGGAAGTCTCTCTCTATCCTCTGCAACAACAACAAGCAACCATGGGCCTCCCTAAGAACCTCTCGTTCCTGCGCATCGGTACCGGCGGCCAGACGCTCGACATGTGAGTGCGCGCTGAGCGTTCGTGCCTCTTCCACGACCGTCACCTCCCCTCTTTCCTCTGCTGGCTCTGCAGCTGAGTTCGTCCAGCCATCGTGTCGCGGGAGCGACAGCTCGCCAGTGCGCCCAGAGCAAGCAAAGACAGGAGAGAGGAGAACAGCAGACAAGCGAAAGCTCAGCAAGGAACGGATGAGCTGACTTCCACAGCTACCTTGACCCCCTGTGCCCCTTCTCGTACAAGTGCGCGCGCTCGCTCACCGAGAACGTCCTGCCCCAGGTCCGCGAAGGCGGCAAGTACGCCGGCAAACTCCAGCTCATCATCAGGCCCTACCCTCAGCCCTTGTGAGTGTCTTTCCTCCCTCGCGAAGCCATTGCGCGCTACTGGGTCATGATCGATGACCAGCCGCTCTGCTGCCTCCACTCAGTTTCACTCAGATCTCGGTGTGCCAGTCTCATCGCCGGGCGCAGTGAGCTCTGAGCAAAGAGCGGCGTGGAACACTCTCGCAGCAGTGACCACTGCATGGACGCTGGGACGACGTAGCAGACACCGTGATGCCCAGCCAGTGGTGCGGGCCGGGGTTTGAGAATCTCGGCGACTGCTTTTGCGGACCCTGACGATCGGCGGATTCCGAACGCACGAAGAGCCTCCACCCTCACTTTTGCGGGCAAGCGGACCGACGTGCTTCTACCTGTTTCTGCAGCGGCAGCCATCAGTGGTGTTGCTGGTTCACGGCAAGCTGGAGAGCGCCGGGCCCTATGCTGCCGATCTTCTCGGCGATCACCCAGCTCAGGTGTGAGGGTAGGAGCTAACATGCAGCCACTACTTCTCGACGTACCCCGTCGAGGCTCTCCTCTGCTTCGGCGCCGACCACCCGGAGCAGTGGTGGGACTACCTCCTGGGCGTCTTCTCCGTGCAGGAGTCCTTCTTCAACAAGCCCGTGCACGACAAGACGCCCGCGCAGGTGCAGGAGGCCTACGTTAAGGTGGCCGAGGACGTGCTCGCCAAGGCCGGCGTCGCCAGCGCCAAGGAGGACGGCAAGAAGCTCTACGAGCAGCTCCAGGTGCACCAGAAGGAGAACGGCGGTTCGGTCATGTTCGAGCCCCTCAAGTACCTCATCAAGGAGGGACGCCAGAACGGCATCCACTTCACGCCCACCGCGCTCCTGAACGGGCTCGAGGACGGATCCGTCTCGTCCGGCTGGGGCAGGAGCGAGTGGGACAAGTGGCTCGAGGAGAAGCTGTAAGTAGTCAGTAGTTCGAATGCAATCTCTGTGAGATCTCCCTCGTTTCATCTCTGCATCGGACGTCGAACTGACGACCGAAGTGGCTCCCCGTCGAGGCTCTAACCCAGGCCCACTTCGTCTTGGCGGTACGTAAGTCACTAGTTGTCCACGGTGTTAGAGCGACATCGTTGGAGCAATATTACAAGATGCATTTCCTAATCTATCCGCGAGAGCACAACCATTGCACTCCCACGCTGTACGGAGCCGGCCCTCCGCTCGCGTTGGCGCTCAGGACGCCCGGAACACTTAGAACTCGTCAATCGTCCGGTTCAGGTCGGCGTGGAGGTGCTCCCGCATGCCGGGGGGCAGGATCGGCTGTCCGTTCTCGTCCTTGACGTAGCGGAAGGGCATCTCGATCGCCTCGTGCTTGTTGAACGTGATCGTGGGGTGGTCGTCGAAGGGAATCTGGTCGAGCGGCACTGGATGTTAGCTCACAGCTCACGTTTAGGCAGCTCCTAATTATGCGGCGAACGAGGAAGGTATACGAGAATCGCAAAGAAACCCCCGTCCGTACGAGGATCAGATGGCAATCCGGAGCAGTCTGCAGTTCGCTCCGCTCGCCGATCGCCCGTACTCACCCTGGTCCTCAACCACGCGCTTCGTGACGCCCACGGCCGTATCCGTCGTCATCTGGACGGGCCCGAGGTGGCGGCCCTCGAACCCAAGCTTCCTCAGCTCTCCTGTACGGTCTCGGGGCGGGTCGTCGCCGAGGATACCGCCGTAGAGGAAGACGTCAAACTTGTCCGCGTCGTCGGGCTGGATGACCTGCTCGGCCCGCGGGTCGAGGAGACAGATGCGCGCCTTGTCAATGCCCTGCTGCGCAGCGACCTCGAGCACGGGCTGCGTGAAGAGCTCGGCCTTACCCCCGTTGGGCTTGCCGGAAAGATACTCCTTCAGCGGGGGCACGGAGGTGGTGGACAGAGAGGTGAAGGCCACCTTGGACGAGGGGCCGACGGAGGACAGCATGTGCGCGTACTCGAGACGCACCCACTCGGGGAGGGCTTTAGTCTCCTCGTCATCCTGCTCCATGTGCTCTGGACGTTAGCTTGGAGATAATGACCTAAGCTTACCAATCACGTACTTGAAGCCCTTGGGCTCCTGCTGCTGGGTCGCCATTGTCAGTTCGTGGGTGTGCAAGTGACTAACTCGTGCCGTCTTCCTCCATCCATCCTCCACTCGCTGAACCGACTTTCTGGCCACTGTCATGTCGGGACCAAAAATCGTCCCAACCTCCACCCAACGTGCTGTCTTCCCCGCGCTTCCCCGCAGTGTCATAATTTTTGCCACCCAAGCCGCACTTCAGCGACGACGACGACGCACTCTATTGCGGCAGCGTAACATCCACGCCACGACTAGAAAGTAACGACACCATGGCGCAAGGAGCTGGAAAATTGAAGGCCGCCAAGACGAGCGGCGGCCGCAAGAACACGGGCCTGACGAAGAAGGGAAAGCGCAACTGCGCGCCGAAGAAGGCGATGGCGAGCAAGGAGTACATGACCAAGAAGGTGAGTCTGTGGTGTGCGGAGAAGGGCGAGGGGGTATGGGATGGAGCATTGGTACAGGGATTTGGAGCTCGGCTACTGGTGACTCTGTCGAGCACGAAGACAGCGCAGAGATCCAATGCTCCCACTTGACAAAGGCGGGCTTCGATGAGGCGCCTTTCGACCTGCTTGAGAACTCAAAGACGATGTGCGATCCTTCAGCGGACCGCTGCAGTCTTTCTTCGCTCCGAGCTCCCAAGGACATGCTCCCCTTGAGCTCTCACAGCTTCGTACCGCTCCTGAACACCCAGCTGACCCCAGGCTCTTTCCACCAAGATCAACGCCAACATTGAGCGGCAGATGGTGAACGCCGCGTCGGCGGGCAAGCTCACGATCATGAAGGACAAGGGAGGAGACGAGTGAGTGTTTCTGTTTCTGCTGGATTGTGCAGGAGGCGTGTTGCGTCCGCTGCAACCTTTCTACGGTCACCTGCTGTCCCCAGTTGACACGTCGCTCTGGCATGATGTAGCTCTCTGCGCTTACTCGAAGACTAGCTGACACCCATAGCCCCAAGACGGCCGCGAAGAAGGCGAAGGAGGCTAAGAAGTAATGTCCTTGTTGTATCACCATCATATGCTAGACTCGTTAGATTGATCGATTAGGCAGAGGCTTCAGCGGCGGCACACACGCACGAGGCGAACAGTCATCATTGCAGCCACTTGTATCAGTCGGCCCACGATGTTCTAGAATATAACAATACATAATTGGGTCTATGTCTACTGATCTGAGAGATCCTTCTGGGCTTCGGGCCGGTACACGCCGTGTGCCCTCCCCGCGCGACTCGCTCCGTTCGTCGTCTACTGTCCCCACTGGAAGTGGAACTTCTGTCCGCCTCCACCCCCTCCGCCCGGGAACCCGCCTCCCGGGAATCCACCGCCTGGGAACCCTCCTCCGCCGGGGAAGCCGCCGCCCTGCTGGAAGAAGAACGGCATGCCGCCGCCTCCATGGTGTCCGAAGGGGTTTCCGCCCTGGCCGCCGGTCGGGTCGTTGGGGTCGTCTCCGTTATCGTAGCGGGCGCGGAGCTCGGGATCCGAGAGGACCTCATACGCCTCGTTGATGGCCTGCATCTCCTTCTCGCTCCCGCCGTTCTTGTCGGGATGGTTCTCCTTGGCCTTTTTCCGGAACGCCTTCTTGATCGTGCGCTCGTCCGCGTCCCGCGGCACGTCGAGCACCTTGTAGTAATCCTTCTGCTTGGAGACCTTCAGGAGTCGCTCGGCCTTTTGCAGCTTTTGCAGGATCGCCTGCGACCTGTTCTTCTCGAACGCCTTTTGCAGGGCGCGCACCGCGCCCTCCCACTCCTCCGCCTTCAGGAGGCGCTCGCCTTCAAACACGAGCGCGGACTCGTTCTCGGGCTCCAGCGCCAGGAGCGCCTCGCACCACTGCTTGCCTGCGCGAGAGCCAAAGTCCTGCGCATCCACCGTCGCGCGACACCCGAGCGCGAGCAGCTCCCGCCGCGGCGCGCTCTTCTCCTTCGCCGCGAACTGGGGCGCGATCAGGCCGTCCCTCACTGCCTCGTCGAGGGCGGCCTCGAACGAGGGGATCAGGCCGGGCTCGTCCTGCGTCCCGCGCAGGAGGTTGATGGCCTTGCGCGGCTTGCCGCCGTTGACAAAGTTGTGCGCCTGCTGCAGCGCCTTGCCCTGTGCGCGCCACGCGCGGTGCAGCTTCTTGCACGCCTTGTTGTCCGGGTCCGAGTGGAGGCACTTCTTCAGCTCGTTCAGCGCACTGGCCGGGTCGATGAGGTAGTACGCCAGCTGGGCCAGCTGGACGTGCGATTCGAGGTTGGACGGGTCCAGCGCCGCCAGCCGCGTCATGTCCGCAAACACGGCCTCAGCGTCGCCGCGCTCCGTCTCGCAGCGCACGCGCAGCTCGCGCACTCCCTTGTTGTTGGGCGAGACGTGGATGGCCTTCGTCGCCTCGGCGACACAGTCGTCCCAGTTTTTCTTCTTGGCTGCGTTCTGAGCCGCCTTCAGAGCGCTCTTGGCGCTGCTGATGTCCGATGAGAGCTTGGTGCCCGCTTCGTCGCCCGGCTTCAGCTTTGAGAACTGCTTCATCGCCGACGCGGCGTCGTCCAGGTCGCCCTCCTTGGCGAGCACTTTCGCCTTTTGGAAGTACGCCTGCGCAAACTTCGGGTTCATCTCGATGATCGAGTTGAAGTCGTCCAGCGCGGCTGCCTGCTTGCCCTGCGACAGGTAGGCGGTCGCACGCTTGTAGTAGTTTAGGTACGAGCTCGGGTCGGATTCTGAAGTCAGCTTAAGCTCGCGTGACTGATAGCTGAGGCAGCGGCGCTGCTGCATCTCAACCTGGTGGACTACTCACCGATCGCCTGGCCGAACGCCCGAGCCGCGTCCGAGTACTTGCCCGCAGCGAGGAGTCGGTTGCCCTCAGTAGACAGCTCGGCGGCGGACTTGCCCCCAGCCCCCGCGTCAGCAGACACGGGGAGGGGCGAGAGGAGCGCAAGCAGCGTGAGGCCGTAGAGGACCTTCATTTTGGTATGTCGTTCCGTCGGATGTGTCGATCTGGGTGGTTGGTCGGAGATGCGCGGAGCGCTCAAATGCGTATCGGAGCTTCAGCAAGCAAGTGGTGCAGTCGCGTTCTGCGTCGCGCAAGGTAAGCAGTATGGCTAAACAAGAAAGAGCGGCTGAGCTGGCGACGAGTCGTCGAGGTGGACGTTGAACGGGGCGGACAGAGGGAAATTGCAGCACGACACAATGCGGCCTCGGTCTGACGTGGTGAGGGACAATGGGACACGTGGCGTTTCGCTGTCCACTGGGTGGCAAACTGTTCCGCCTCCCGTATGCCGTCTCCGCCGCCCTGCACGCTGACGAGGAAGGTTCTGGACCCCGTCATGCCACCGTGGCCGGTGTCCATCGCCAGCATGCATGGTGCAACCCTTTCGACTGACGGATGACTCGAAACGCGAAACTCGATCGTCGAATCCAGGGGTCATGACTGCATCACTATCATCCTACATCTCTCATCTGAGCCGGGGACAGAACACAGGACCGCAGCCTCTGCGCTCCGCATCCTCAGCCCATGGCCTTGGCTAGGCGCTCTACCTCAGCTTCTTGTCCTCAAAGTACACCTTGAGGTGGCGCATCTGCCACACTCCGGCAGCGACGAGGACGACAATCTGCGCAATGCAGTACCACACGGCGCGCGCGTTCGTCGCCTCAGACAGGTCACGGAACTGCTCCTCCACCTCGCGCATGTATCGCTGCTCGCGCTGGATGTCGGCGACCTTCTTGTTCAGCTCGTTCAGCTTGCCCGCGAGCGTGCCGATGTGGCGCTGGTCGGACCTGCTAGTCAGCTTCCGAGGGCACAAATAGGAGCGGTGCAGCTTATCAGATGCGCCAGGCTTGTTACCGAACGACACCACCCAAGAGGACCTTCCCCTCACTCCGTATGGACGGAAGCCGCACGGCAGAACATGGGGAGAGTCGATAGGGGAACAGCTCGGCAACACCCCTTTGACCAATACTCACTCCTTGTCATGCTTCGACGGTCCAACGTTAACATCAAGGTACATCTTGACGTGCTTGTGTCCGCTGCCAACTCCCTCGGTGGAGAGACAGATCTGGTGATCGGCAGCCTCATGGGAGGAGAAGGTGAACGTGCCCGTGTGCGGTCCCTTGGTGTTGACGACGACCTGCGCGCTCGACAGGTCCTCGACATTCACGCGGACCTGCAGTCCCGGGTCCGCCTCCCAGCTCTGCTTGCCGTCGTCCCAGACGAGGGCTCCGTATTTTCCTGTCCTGTCAGCTGAGGTTCCCAAACCGCGCAGCTGCTTCGCGACATGTTGGGGATCCCAATAAGGCGATGAGAGCAGTGCTGTCTGCCAAGGTACGGCCCGGAGGAACGAGCACGGCGGGACACTCGCATCCTCCGTCGGCATACTCACCCTCAACGACCGTGTCACTCGGGAGCTCCTCGACGAAACACCTCTTCTCGCTCGAGTCAAAGTAGAAGTGGAGGGCCTGAGGTCAGCTAGGTCAATCACCGCGTAGCTCTGGAATCAGCGCAACTAACCTGCGCCAGGCCAATGACCTGCGCGGCGAGCAGGAATGTCGTGAGCTTCATCGTGGGCTCGTCGAAAGTCGTCCGTGGTCGTGCACGTCGTTCAACGTCGTGGTCGTGTGTTTTGCAGTTGCGGCGGTGGACGCGCTCGCCGCGCGCATTCACATTCACGACGTGTCAGCGGCCATCATGGGCACATGGCGATCGGCGATTTGCTTCCGTCGCCTTTCTCATGTCGCAGTCGTGGGCGACACTCATCTCCGGGGGAGCGGTAAACACGCAAATTTACCCGGGCCTAATTTCGATTTACACCGCTGACACTAATCCTCTCTCTAATTGGCATCTCCACAGCACATCAGCGTCAGCGGCTGACGACAGTCGGCCCGACGTCATTCCGCTTACGCTTGCCGCTACGTACGTCAATGTGCGAGAACATGCGAACTGGGGGAACGTGCGACTTCTGGTCCGTGGCTAGCCCGGATGTGCATGACAACCTACAGTGTAATCGTATCTACAAGCATATAGACGGAAGAATGAAGTGAAATGAAATGAAGCGTGAAGACGTTGAATGTGTGTAGTTGGTGTGGCTAGTGTTACAAGATTATAGAAACGAGATCGCCCGCCTGCAGGATGGAGTTTCCAAGCTGCAGACTGCTAGTGTAAAGTTTTCCGTTGCCGTCCATTGCAGCGTAGCAAGCACGAGATGCTCTTGTCCTTCTATTGCGTTTTTCCGCTTAGTCGAGCAGCGCCGCCGCTGTCTCCCAGAACCATTCGTTTTTCTTGATAAAGTGCACAATGACCGTGCCGCCGCGCTCCCGCTCGTCTCCGAGGAACCGCTCACGTCTGGTCGGGCGGCGCGCCATGGCGGCATCGATCTGGAGCTTCTGCTCCTTGCGCTGCGCCGCCGTTCGCGGACGGGGCGCGTCGCGCAGCAGGCTAAGCTCGCTTCCCTCGACGAGTGCCTCAACCTGCTGCTCGGGCGTGAAGGGCGCGGGAGGGGCATATGTATCACCGAAGCGCGAGACGGTGGAATACGAGGCAGGACCGTTCGACCACTGCCATGCCGAGTGCGGAGGCTTCCAGCCCTCTGCGTAGCGCTTCCTCGTCCTGGCGACCTCGGACGGGAACAAGAAGCCGTGGCTATAAACGGTGGGCGCTCGCGGGTGGTCGTAGATCCATGTCTTCTCCGAGACCCAGGTAATCTTCTCGCGCTCCGGGTGCGCATGCAGCCATTGCGACATCCGCTTATCCTCCTTGCCGCTGACGTGCTGAGCCACTTCCGGTGACGTGCTGATGTACTCTGCAAGATCGAGCGAGACGGCGTAGCACTCGCCGGCCATGAACCAGTTGTTGACGAGGTAACCCCAGTGTGTCAGCTTGCGGGGCGATGCGCGCAAGTGACGCTCGAGCTCAGACAGGACGATGAAGGCGTCGTCGTCCGCCTTCGCGACATACGCCGGTCGCTTCTCGCCCTTGTAGATCGCTTGACCGACGGTCGGGTACTCGTAGGCAGGGACGGTTGCGTGCTCGGCAGCCCAGGAGAAGTAGTGATACGTCTTGCCGTTGTTCATGTTCTCGTCAATGTCGAGGATCACAATGTCGCCATGCTTCTTGTTCTCGGCCGCGACCCGTTCCGCCCACTCTGGTGAAGGTCTGCCCATGATGAATCGTAGCCTGACTCCCTCTGAGCCCGGCTTCAGAGACTTCGGGTGCGATCCATACGTCTCGCGGATGACGTTTCTTCGGTCGACCGAGTGGTCCACGGTGAACACGCCCAGGAATACGGTAGTCGGTTCGATGGAATCCAAAGCTTCTCCCGCGAAGTCGGTCGTGTAAGGGTTGTGTGATGATCCAGGCCAGGGCCACTGAGCAGAACCAGGTGTGATCGGCGCGAGAACGAGGTCGCTTCCGGCGAGCGAACGATGCGTCTGGTCGGCCGGGAACAGAGGCGAATTCGGGTCCTGCAACGAGAACAGCGTAGGGTAGTCCTCCTGGCAGTAATCCCTCCACGGGAGCGCTCGCTTATCGGGGTCGAGGATGTACTTGATGGTACCGGTCATGACCACGGCGAAGATAATGAACGCGACGACGAAGAGCGCGAGTCCCCATGGCTCGTTGTGAGCAAAGGAAGACACGCGCTTCCATATCGGTCCTTGCGAATCGGAGCGTCTCCGTGATTTCCGTCGGCTCAGTCCCGGGTGCTGGGGAGTGTTACCGTACGGCGGGAAGACGGAGCGTACTGATCGGAACAGTCGTCGTGGTGTCCGCGGGGCGAACGGGATGCTGAAGCCCAGCGAACGAGGAAGAAGATGCCGTGTTGTGTCGTCGAAGTGCGAACCCCACCACGAGTTGGCGGCCGCCTTTTCCCGCAGAATGTCGTCTTCCTCCGAGTAGTCCTCGCTATCGCCGCTCCACCCGAACTGTCCAGACGACGATGACGTTCGCGGGGAGCTCTCGCCTGTCGAGTCCTGCCCGTCCGATTGGCTTGCGACGCTGGCAAGGGGCAGAATGTTATTAGGGTCTGGTGATGGCGGGACGGGCGAAATGTTCGGTGAGACGGAGTGCCAGACGTGACTATTATTTTGCCAAAGGTGGGGGCGCGATCGGGAAGAGTGGTGAAGGCTTCGCCGTGTCCGTTTCGGGTCGTAGTCGTCCTCGCCGTCACTCTTGTTCTGCTTGAAGTTGTGCTCGGCCGGCGGTGGTGGCAATGTGCTTCCTCGGCGAGGCACAGGGCTGTCCGCAGCAGTCCGATGGACTGGCGACCATGGCACACGTGCGGACGTCGGAGAGTCTGCCGGGGATCCTGTTCTTGGTCGGGGAACGGTCAGACTGAGTCTTCGTCGTGTCGTGGAAGCCGAGTGTTGTGACGAGTTGATGCGGGATGATGATGAGGGGCTGCTGGCCTGGCCGGGGGAAGGGGGACATGAGCCCTCGACCTCGACGCCGTTGAGGCCCCCCGGTTGGTGGAGGCGCATGGGGTGTGTGCCGAGGCCTTGGGAGGGAAGGAAGGTGGCGAGGTCTGATGTGGATGCACGGCGTACTAGGTGTGAAGTGTTTCGCTTGAGGAAGAGGTGTGTGAGGAGGTGTGCGGTTGCAAAGGAAGGAGGGTGGTGTTGGGTGGGAAAAGGGGTAGGTGGTGGTGGATGTTGACGAGAGGATGGAGGAGGAATGGAGGATTGCAGAGTCTGAGTGTGGGTTGGCTGTGCGTGCTGTGCGAGATTTGGTGGTGGTCGCAATGCGCAGTCGGGCCAGGCAGCGCAGCCAGAGTAGTGTCGCTGGCTGGGCTGGCTGGGCTGGCTGGGCTGGCTGGGATCGAGCCCACCCTGAGCTTGACCGCAATTAGGCTCCGCGCCCTTGGTCGAGCTGGGCCTTGCCCTTAACTCCTCAGAAACTCCCTCACAAGGTGAAGCCGCCTCCTTTGCGCTGCCCCTTGCCGTTGCCCCGCTCAACCACGCTGTGTCCTCGCCGCACCCCGCCTCTCTCGGCACGCTCCCCATGCTGCCGCCCAACGCTTGCTCAGTGTCGGCGGCAGTGTCGGCAGTGCAGGCAGTGCTTGAACAGGCAGTGCTGCGGGGTACTGTTGTCCGCGGCATTCCTTCAAAAGTGCGCATGCGGTTGCCGACTGCGCCTTCGCCGATCTGAATGAGCCCTGGCCCGCCAGGCCGCTGTGCCCGCTGTGCCGCTACGCCAGCCAAGGTGCGACTCCCAGCACTCCTGAATTCAAATTCCAACGTTGGACGTCGCAGCGCTGTCCTCCACTCCTGTCACTCCAAGCTATCCTTATTCCGGCCTATTCTGGGCGGAAAAAGCATGCACGCAGCCACCCAAATGGCCCAAATAAGGCCAAATAAGCCAAAACAAGGCCAAAATTTCACTGGCACTGCGTCCTCTGCAATTGCCCCGTGTCCACCTGCCCAGTAGCCCAGGCACAGTGCACTAGCCACCCAGCCTGTCGCAGCTGTCGCACCCGTGTCGAGATTGCGCAGCAAGCACGCTGCGTGCCGTGCTGGTGCTAGCGTCCAGGTGGCCAGGTGCAAGGTACCGGGTTGCGCGAACGTGAAACCCGACAGCCACCTATCAGCGCTCTAGACTCGCCAGTCGTCAAGAGCACGCACACCAGACCGTCAGGTGACTGCTACTGGAACAGTGATGTCACTCCTCAATGGCAAACTTGCAAAGCGATATGCGACTGTGCGACCTGAAAGCTGGATCGCTGGAAATGAGAATGGCGAGTTGATCGAGTTGGGCAACTGCGCAGCGCGGGGCAACGTGCAAACTTCGGGCCGGAATGCCGAGAGGTGTCGAGGGTGTCGATGTGTTTAGGGAATGAGTGTGAGTTACGTGGGATCGTGTTTGCCTGTCCGGGCAGGCTGTAAGTTGAGTGTGCAAGTGTAGTTGGGAAAGGGGAGAGGTAGCTCACATCGCTCGGGCACTCGTATCTAAATATCTGTCCGGGAGACTGGCCGAATGACAGCCTGTTAAACTGGGGAGTGACTCGGCCACTCGGACGTCGAAGCGTGGTGCTTGAGAACAGCAGCTAGAACCTAGCGTACCCGCTGCACGCATAACGGCGCCTATAGCTGCTACCTCCTGGTTTGTCCTTGGGCAACAATGACAGTGCGGCGTAGTAGTCGGCCTTTCTCAGTGCGCTGAATGTGCAGTGCAATCGGCTCATGTGCGCATCATTGAGTCACTGTGCGTGCTCATATGTGCCAGTCCGAGCTCATCGGTCACTCGCAACATGGGTAGATGTTCGCTGGAGCTGTGATGGTCACATTGGCTGGGACGGATGGTACACGGGCGCTCAGTGGCAGGGGGGGGCCGAGCGTTATTCGCGATCTAGGCCAGCCCAATGTGGCTCAGCCTGAATCCATTGGAGTCCACAGGCAACGAGGCGCCGTGGCTGGCCAGCCTGACAAGCTCGTACCTTCCTAACCCCCACTCGCCACCGTCCACATCAGGTTGGAAGGGGATGCGGCCCCCTCTGACGTCCCAGGTACAGAGGGATCATCTGAGCAGCTGGGCATGCAGCTGGATAGCATAGGCGACGCATGACTTTCCCAGACTACTGGTCGATCACATCGGTCGCTCTGCTCGGCCGTAACGTTGCCAGCGATCTAGTGAGGGCTCAGGGGTAGCGTTCCGGCTCCGTGATACGGAGATTGCGAGATTTGATTGCGATAACGGAATCCTCGGTCTCACCTGACCGATGCCTCTGCCGCTTCACCGGCTCTTTGCCTAAGGCTTAACCTGCTTTAATGTCGTGGACAGCACGACTTCAGGTGGCTGCACGTGGGTCGTGCGGCGTCAAGTCAACCGTAGCGTATGGTCCAGAACGCGAGGGAACGGGCAGATCACACCGCGGCTCTGCTGACCTTAGTGCGGTGCGGCGTGCCGCCGTCCACCCAGAATAGAACACCAGACCCCCGACGAGCTTAATGCTGCTCCAGTCTTCCGGCATCGGTATGCACTATGCACTGGACACCATATGCTCCTCTGCACAGGGCTCGGCCGATAGCAATGCGCGAAGATAGTTGATCCGAACCGGTTTGCAATGCGGCTGTGCGTTACACCGCTCGAAAGTCTAGTGCGACCAGGTCAGGGGAACCAAACAAGGGCTGGTGTGCCCCTCCAGTTCCGAGACAGTTTCACGCTTGGCTCAGACCTGACCTCTTACTCATGACACCCACTCACGTACCTGGCACACACTCCATGACCACCACAACAGGCCGTTTTGGAGGTATTACGCATCTGCACCTCGCACTGTGCAGATCTGCGCAAAGCCGTACAGCGTTGCAGAGCTTGGAGCATTGAACTGAAGCTTAACGCACGTTCAATCTGGCGAGTGGGGGCTAGGTCCAGGCACACTTGGGTCCCATGGGGCCTGTGCACTGTGCGTCGTCTTGGCATGGATATTCCTGCCACCGCGCCAATCACACAAACTTCTCGTGTGCCCACCGGAATCTGGTCTGTGCCGTCGGAAAGCTCGGTGCGTCCATCTCTATGTGGTGTGGCAAGTGGCAACCCATCGGATTTAGTAAACCTTGGGCGGCGGTGAGGGAGGGGCGTCAAGACAACGGAAACAGTCGCAGGGGCCGGATTTGAACGCTTCTCCAGCACTGTCGAAGCATCGTGTCGAGCGCGGCAAGTAGATATGAAGGCCAGGTCACGCCCACTCCGCCGACGTGTGAGAGTGCGCACAAGCCTCGAAGCTGCGCAAGCCGAATGTTGCGATACAAAGAATGGAATAGGCGTGGTGTCGGTGCCAGCCCTGCGGAGACAGAGCATGGGTGAGCCTAACGAATGGCGAAGCTCCAACCGCGAATAAAGACCCAGAAGTCTTAAAGGCAAGCGACCAGTGCCAACGATCTAGAGATGATAGATGATCCAGCTCTCTGCCGCAACTTCGTGATGCTGGCAACTGAGATGGATCACAAGGTACAGGCCGGCAGTTTTTAAGCCAATCACATATTCGAAACTTCGTCGATCCCCCGGTGAGCAGCATCGCTGTCGCTTTGTTAGGAGATCACAGATCGGGCATCTTCAGGCGGCTTTCCCGGGCCAGCAGACCAGCTTGACGTAGCCAACTTGGGGTTTCGCTGTCTCAAGGATTGCGGATTATAGCTGATCTTTGTTGAGATGCGTCACGAGTCTTGTTCTGTTCTCTAGTGAGCAGTCAAAGGTGAGGTTAGCTCGGAGCAGCCTGACGTTGTCTGTGCAGCTATGGGCATTAATGTTCCTGCTGGAGCAGAGTTAACCCAATATCTGGTCACTGCAATTCCCGAGCTGCGCTTCAGCGACATCCACAGGACTGTACCGCACAGCAGAAACCCTTGCGGTGCACATGCACTTGTCGATCGCTTGCAGCATTCCGTGTCAGGCGGCCGGATTCCGGACCGTGGCATGTCCCGCTGTCTCGGCGGTGTCATGTGAAGCTTTGCGAAGTCAGGTGGTCACCGTGCTGCGCGGTGCGCAGTGGCTGACGTTGACATTGGCATGTTCGTTGTGAGATGATATCATTGATGCGATGTGTAGTGCCTGTCGTCAGCTCAAACCGGCGCACGTAAGACCAGCGCCGAATCCCGTCAACATCACATCGAGCTCGCAGTCTCGCAAGAAAGCTGAACGTGTTGTGAGCGGAAAGCAAGGCGATGCACCCCTTGTGATGCTAGAAGTTGGACAGCATCAAACCGAACCAGTTCTTGAAAGTCGAAGATCTGCTCAGCATGTCTTTCTCGTTCGAGTGTTGACTAGACGATCACAACATCGTCAAACACAAACAAAGGTCTTGGGTGGCAAGAGTGGAGGCTGCCACGGAAGCATCTCCACGCGGGCAAGGTGGAGGCCGCTCTGGTGGAGGTGACGTCCACATTTCGGAGTCCCGCACTGCACTCACGTCCACTCACCTCACCAACTCACCGCAGCTAGCAGTATGGACGTCCTGCTCTTTCGCACGCCGTCCGAGTCGGATCCGTACGATGCTGCCTTTAAGACGGCGGGATACCGCCCGCGATCAGTGCAGGCGCTCGACGACGTCCTGCTGCCTGAAGGGCTGGCGCCAATTCTCGCTGCAGGAGGAGGGAGGTGGGAGGCGGCCCTGATCACATCACGGCGGGCTGCAGAGGCGTGGTGTCTAGCAGTCGAGGACGCACAGCGTTATCCGTCAAATACCTTCGGTGAGTGTGTCGCGCTAAGGGAGCTGCAGACCGTCTGCCGTTGAGCTGACGTGCAGAATCCTGGTCGTCGGTACCTTTCTACGCACCAGGGGGAGCTGTCGCTTCCGTGTTTGACTCGCACTCCCTCGATTCGACTTGGAGACCAACGGAAGGAGGGACAGCTGTTAATGCGGCGGGTCTTGCACCGATCATCCTGAATGCCGAGCCGCGGCTTGAAGGACATGGCCCCTACCTTGTGCTCACGGGCGACAAGACGCTTCCCCTCCTGTCTGACGCCTTGACGGGTGCTGGTCGCCGGCTGACGAGGGTGCAGGTGTATGAGACCGCATGTGCTGCGTCTCTCCCGTCGTCTCTTGGCGAGGTGTCGGAGGGCTGGGCTGCGTTCTTCTCGCCGAGCAGTGCCGCGTGCGTTCTGCCTGTGCTGGAGGGCAAGTGTCAGCTGCCGTGGGACTTGAGCGTCGTTGCGAAGCCGCGTGGAACCGGGCCCAGGATCAAGATTGCTGCCATTGGAAGGACGACGGAGGGGTATCTTCGCGAACAGGGGCTGCGGGTCGAAGCCGTTGCCGAGACACCGGACCCGGAAGGATTGCTGAAAGCGATTCAGGCCGCGGATGCAAGACAGAGACAGCTGTAGCCGTCACAGTTGTGGTCGTGTGAGAGATGGATAATACGGATACGTCGATTGCGTGGCAATGGCCATGGTCTACGTCGACGTTGAGCCGGCCTTGGGCACGGACTCTCCGCAGGGCATCACTAGGATCAGCGGGCGACAGCCTCCCGGCGCCCGGCTGCCGATCAGCACCTCCACCATCTCCTCCACTATGGCGCTTTGCTCAGACCACTCGCCGTCGCCGCCTTCCGTCCACTTACAGACTTTCCTCGCAGAAGTTCCGCACATGACCGAAGGGAGCCGGGACGCGCCGGCCCGGTTGCGATCCGCTGCATCCGCACGAGATCTGTGCATGCCGACATGAAGATGACGGCCAGCAAGGGGTTGTTTCACAATGATCACCAGACCCCGTCTCCGGCAAGGAACAGGTCGGCAAGTAATATGGGCCAGCAGGCACTCCCGCCGATCGCACTTGGGTTCGGCGGTGGAGCGGCCTACCCCTCGCCATGACGGCCTGCAGACTTTTGTGCCCGAAGGCCAAAGCCCGGTGCAGCCCGGTGTCTTCCGGAGGACTGGTGTTGTGGAGCCGGAAGACGGATGGAGGAATGGCTTGTGGCGGCCCGAGGAATCAAGTGGAGTGCGCAGAAATGGGACGGGCTCTACGGAGCGTCCCAAGCTGCGCGCTGTGCAGTATCACGAACTAGCGATCTCGGGCAGGCGGAGAGGCCATGACATAGTGTGGCTGCGGTATGCATGCATGATGCGATGATGCGAGCGTGACGCGTGATGGCGCTGATGTGCCCGAGTCTCACTTTTTCAATGTCAGATAACGACTTCCGCCCTGCGCTAATTGCGCAGATGGGGCTCAGCTGGGGGCCGCAAGATCGGCACTTCGACGCCCTCATGAATGCGCGCAATGATGAAGCCAATGTAGCATGGGCCGATATCCTCGAAGTACAATGTCCCCAGCTCCCCAATGTGCACATTGTGCATTACGAGGCGGCGTCGACCCACCTGCCGCACTCCTATCGTACTATGCAAACTATCGAGACATGCCGGTGCACCAATTGTCGCACGATAACGCTTACCTACGCCCCAAGGCGCCTCGGATCATCAGATCGCCAGAATCGGGGCGAGACGGCCACCCCGCGGCCGAGCTTGCTGATGCGAGAAATGATGCAATACATGATGCTACGTGATGGTGTTGGTACAGTGCTAGGTGATAGTGGTAAAATACAAAGTCAGCTAAGCTACTACTCGTCCTCGATGGTGCGCAGGCGGCTCTTGACGCTGCCAAACATGTATCCCTTGCTGCGGGTCTGGTTCAGGAAATCGAGCTCCATGAGACTCTTGCTGGGCCTGTGCTGGCTGCAATTCGGAGCAAGCATGGCCCCCGCCTCGCTGTGACTGCGCTGGTGGTGTCCGGCGAACGAAGGAGGTGGGTGCGTGTGGTGACGCTCCGGTTTGGGATGCGGCTGCGAGCGAGGGCGCTGGCGCTCCTCCTCTGCTGGAGGGCCGGCGTAGAACGGATGCGGGGCACTCGGCCTTCGCATCTGCAGCATCGCATTGGGCGGCGAAGCATAGTACGGCTGCGGGTATGTCGTGGACGGCGTGCGGCCACTCGACGGAGACACGCCAGAACGGACGTTCGACGTCGGGATCGGCGTGGCGGCCGACGGCGTTGGCGGGCTCTTCGCGGCAGGCGGCTCGATGTTTAGTCCTAGGCCAGAGAACTCGCGAGCAAGCTCCTGCATCGGCGGCAGCGGTGGCGGGGTACCGAGCCAGGCGTCGTCGCGGGGAGTCTTTATTGGGCTTGACACAGAGCTCGCCAGCGAGCCAACGGACTTGCGGGCAGAAACGCTGCGCTCCCGTGCGGAGTAGCGCGAGTGTTGCCGCACCTCACGCGCGACGTCGTCCTCCTCAAAGACAGAGTCGAAGACCAGCTCGACTTGTGCCGGAGCGCTCTGCGTCTGGCTGCTTGAGGAATAGGCTGGTGCAGGCCTGGCGCTGGTGGCGCTTGTCGGCGTGCTCCCAGCTGAGACAGAGGACGAAACCTTGCGGAACGGGATCGTGATGCTCGGCTTTTTGCGCCACGAGGACTTGGAGGGTGACTTTGGTGGCGGTCCAGTTGGCGGGAGAGACGCGGCCAGTGATAAAGGGCTTCGCGGAGGTGGTGATGAGCGCAGCGCAGGTGGCAGCTGGACAGCGGGCGTTGGAGGCGTGCGAATCGTTGTTGTTGAAGTCGAAGACGATGAGTACACACTCTCCTTCTCCCTCTCGAACGCCGAGCCCGAGCGGCCCGAGACGTTAGAGTTGGAGCGTGACCGCCCCAGCGAATTGGCGAATGGGTGGTTCTTTGGTAACGTCGGAGACCTCGGCGCAAGGGGTAGCGGCGTGGAGGCGTCGAGCGCCACCTGTCGAGACACAACAGGCGGGCGGGGTGTCGTTGTTGTGGCTGGGATCATTGCGAGGTCCAAGCTACAGCGCGAGTAGTGGGTGGGTGGTATCGATGTGCCGTATGACGGTGGGTTTGTTTTGAGAAGAGGTCAGGTAGAGAAGTTAGGTCGAGACGAAGCAATGTTCTTGATGTTCTTCGGATGTCGAGCGTGTGTCACGTAGGGATCAAGGAGTGTTAGGTGTTACTAGCTGTTACTGGTAGTGTGAGCGTTTAGAAAGAAGGAAAGGAAGACCCAACGCAAACATCATGGCACCCACCTTTATTAATCACATCACATCAGCAGGTCTTCCAAGCCGGCTGGTTGCTTGGCTTGATCTGGTTCTGGTCGCCTCCGTCGCTTCGTCGCCGCGCCGCGCTCGCCTGGATACCTGAGGCTCCACATGACCGGACGACTTAGGACTTTAGACGACGAGCGGTACGCCAGGCGCGGGGGGGCCTGACATCAGAGGGAGAAGAGTTCAGCCGACGCAGGCCAACGGCTTGGAGGGGCTGCCCAGGCGACAGACCATGGTCATCTGAGTTGGAGCTTCCGGCCCTTGGCTCTTCTGGCTGCGGGCTGCAGGCTTGTCCTCGGCAGGCTAGATGAGAGCTTGCCTCTTGTGAGAGCTAGTTCGCTCTGCGAGCGTTTCATCTTCGCATCTCAGGCACGTCATGGCGCCCAGGCAACCCAGGCCATGCAGCCTCGCATTCACCCACTTGTCTCCCACCCCGATGGCGTGGGCGGCCTGCGGGCAGGACGCAAGGACATGAGAGACATATCAAGTCGACGCGCTTGACGCCTGAACGCCCATCAGGCCCAGGACCAGCCAGGACAAGACCAGTATCGTACGAACCTGAATCATCTGGGGAAGGGACGCTACGGCTACGGGCTGGCTATGGTGGGCTACGGTATGGAGTAAGCAAAGAACGAATGTCTTGGGGAAATGTGAAGGCCCTGCATCGTCTGAGGCCTTGGGTGCCATGCCGGCATTCACATCGCTCGACATCTCTGGAACCGTACTTGGGCGCGCCTGCGCGTGAACATGCCCCATCAGCGCAGGGTGGGTAGGGAACTGCAGGGCCGACGACCCAGGCTTGGGCAAACCTTGTTTGTTGACTCGCATGCAATTCCACACCAAGTCACATTTGAATTGAATAAACATCCCTCCACTCCCATCACATCCGGAGACTAGCCCGTATCAAGCTATAGCCTGGGCCTCTGCCGCCCAAGCTCAGAGTCGGTGTCGACCAGCTGACGCCCGAAGCATAGTGCAATGCAATGTCAGTAATGCCGCTTCTCTCGGTCAGAGCCATTCATTCATTCGTGATCCTTTGACTCGCCTTCATGCTTTTCATTATGCCCTGCGCCGTCACGAACGCTCCCTTCTGGAGATACCAGAAAAAGGCCAACAAAGGGGCTAGACGTTCCGCAAAGTTCTGCACGAAGGGGGACGCCGTCTTCGATCAAAGTCTAAGCACGCACAGATGAGTTGTGTCGAATTGTGTGTAGCAGACTTAAGCTATGCCTCCGAGTTCGTCAGCACACGCAGCAACACACCATCCGGCTGTCCAGTCGTAAGGTCTCCTCGGCTCTCGCGAGGGTATAAGCGCAGGAGATCAGGTGGAACTGTGGTCTGCCTCGTCCGGTGCCCGCCTCACCTCTGTTCCTCAGATCTGTCCTCAGCACCATCCTGACCACCTGATACTGAATCACCAGTGGCGGATGGTGCGCGGCTCCATGCCAGCGCATTCGCGTCACCTGCGACTGGGCAGACGTCCACCGTATGGATTTGACTCAGGCCATAACAACTACTACGCTGATAGGCACTCGTCTGTCGATGCACAGGTAGACTCTACCTGTGGTCAGCAGAGCAAGGGATTCCAGAATGACATTTCCAGCACTCCAGCTGCGACGACTGCGATAACCCTGTGCAGGCAAGATGTAACGGAGAGGGATCCAGGAACCCCAGAGGCTTAACTCAACTCCCCATCTCACCAACACGTCCTTTGGGACCCTTGGAAAGCCCTTAGACCTCCAAGAATGGTGACCTAAACATGAGCAACACAGGCACGAGGCGTCGCACTCCTCCAATTCACGCACAGAGACTAAGCCTCGGACACTACGGCACGACCAAAACGGCTTCCCTTGGCCTCCCCTCCGTCCTCAGCTCTGTTCGAGACGCGCAGGATATCAGTCCTGAAAGACGCAGCAGGCAGCAGCGACACAACAGTAGGGATCTGAGGTAGTGCTATTAGTCAGAGAGAAGGATGTCAGGCTTGCATGGACGCGGTAACCAAGCGACATGGATTCTCATCCACAGCAAGCATCAAAACACGCCCAGGCACAAGGAGAAGACAGCTTATCAGGACCAAAATGTCCGTCTCCTTCTTCGCGCTCGGGTCGCGTGAAGGATCAACGCCTCCCAAGCAGCCAAGCAGCCGATGCCATGTAGTCCAGCGTCTGGCGTGCTGCCGGCATCTAGGATGCAAGCGGGCTCAGCCGGGAGAGTGCATACTCCTCGGCTTCACCATCCTATTCAGTTGCGGCACGGGCTCGGTCCAGCAAACGGCATCGGTCGGCCATGGGGGTGGTCGCGCTGACGAGGGCGCGCCTCGGAGATATTCTGCCATGACATAAGGATGGTCAGCACTGCCTACCCCTGCTCGCTATCGTACCTCTCAGAGACCGCATCTCAGTGATGTCCCCGCACACTACGGACGCTCCCAGGGCCTTCCGCAGCACAGGCTGCTGCTTGAACTCTAAGGCCGCTCTGCATGGGAGACACGCGCCTCTCAATGGCACACTGACCCAATGGACATGCCACCTCCAGGAAGGAAGCTCTGAACTAAGCGTCGCGCACGACCGGACCTCCATGCCGTACTGACACTTCCGCGCGGCTCCGAACATCTCTAGGCTCTGGACCACGCTAGTTCCACCCCGATGGCGCTGTTGGAGTCAGCTGTCTCGTGTCCCCAAATCCGCTGACCCAGATGTCTGTGGGCCAGCTACTCTCCGATTCACACTAGGATGAGGATTCCGAGGCACGGAGGAGCGATAGTAGGTATGTTTCTCATCGCCACGACGAGGAAGGTTCGCTAGCTTTGCCGTAACCACGCACTGATTGCACTGAAAACCAACTTCCGTGCCGCACCGAACCAAGATTGAAAGCGGCAGGCCACAGAGTGTGAGATCTGCTCCGGCCCGGGACCGGTGCATGGCTCAGTAACAGGCAGGTGGGGGAAGGAAGAGGCATGTAAGGTCCAATTCAATCGGACAACCTTCTGTTCACGGCCACGGCGCTAGAAAAATGAATGGGAGCCCCGTGCGCGTCTAGATACTGGGAGGTATAATACTTCAAGCTGCTCAGCCGCTGTGCTGTGTTGAGGCACTCATCCGCGCTGAGCAAGTGCACTCGAGACAAGTGATCAGAAGCTTATTCTGCAATCTACAAAGTAAGCTTGTTTGCTTTTCCGTGCGCCGCACCATCACGGGCCAGGCTCATCTCCACAACGCCACCGACGTAGTTGAACCCTGCGCGCACTGAAGTCCTGGAGCAATGGCGCTCCTGACTCCCACAGAAGGGCAGGAAGACTGTCTATTCCTGTCCTTTGGACCGCAGGTCAGTTGTGCACAGACCACAGCTGTGGCGCGCGCCGCGACTCTGTACTGCGCATGCGGGGCACTCTGCGCGTGTCGAGGATGACGATATGTTCCATCGGCAGCCCTACGCGGTCCATCGGGGCCGGGCATCAATTTAATGCTCAGGTCCCACTTCCGGTCAGGTTCCCGCGCTCTCCTCTTCAGCTGTCGACGACCCAGGAAAGAGTCTCTCGCCCTCTGCCGCGCGTCCAATATTCCGGCTCGACCATAAACAGAACTGCATTGAACGCGGGAAAGTGGGCGTACAAAACGCGTGAATGTCCGTCCTCTGCATTCTGCAACCATCCGTCCCGCCTTCCTCGCTCAACGCCACCGACGCCACAGATCCCAGCACTACGCGTCGTCGCGCTTCAGCCCTTTCGAATCCATCTCGTAAAGGGGCTACTGAATGGCGTACCTGGGCACAACGTTAGCCCAATCCAAGGGTTCAGGCGGGCTGACCTGTCGTGGCGTGATGTCATCAGTTCCTACGAGCTGATAATACCCCTCGCTTCCCCTTCCGCTAGCCCTTGCCGGGTCATCGCTCCCCTCTCGCTGAACAGTTCCTGTCTGGTCCTGGCACATCGGCAGTGCTGTTGGGCCATTCGGCTGTGCACATGGCCGCTGATATGCCACGTACTATAGTACACAGCTGTCTCTACCACCGCCTCACCTCACGCGAATGCGGCCCTCCCCGACCGCAAACCGTTTCGACCATTACCGTCAATCGGGCCCTGATCGCACTACCACTGACCACGAGACCAGATCGCGGGCACGCTCAATGAAGACCGTCAAATGGCATTCTAATAATTACAAGGTACAAGACACGCGATACACGGACCTGTTGGCGATACGCGTTTGCGTGAACACCGAGGCTGCTTGCAACGGTCGGCGCAGTCATGTCCTCGAGACGAGACATGATGTTGTTGCTATCCCTCGAGCAGCCAAACGTCGATACTCGCAGTAACCCTGCCGCCCTGTCCGCCTTGCCCGTCCACATCAGACTCTCACCCCCTCCCGGGGACCTTTCTGCTGGCCGCTACCCCGTTCCTCCTTCCAGGACAACTTTCGGACCAGATCGCTGACTGCCTACGGGGAAGCCCAGCCATACTATTGACATGCCAGGATGCCATCATATCAGCTCATGTCATGTTTCAGGTGGCTTTTGGTTGGCGGTCAGCGGTCATCTGCCTATGCTGGCTTGACATTCCGCCAGCTCCACCTCGCAATATAGCCTACCAGCTCACACTTTCTCACGTATCATTTGTCAACTGACATGTCCGGGTTTGCGGGATCGCGGACCGGCACTCGGCTGATCGTCTCCCTGTCGCGTTCGCTGATGAGCCCGTGACTGGAAGCTGGTCACCCGCTTGGATTGCAGACACAAG